AACAGCCAGCTGGGGCCTGGGGCCGCGGCTGCTCCTCTTGCGATCTGAGTGCCAGGCTCAGACGTGCGCGCGCGCGGTCGGGCACCCTGGCATGGGTGACGGGCGTGTGGGGAAAGTCCCAGAGCTCAGGTCCGTTGGGCAAGCGAGGCGGCCGGGGGCGTCGAGGTTAAGGCTCCAATAAGATGCTCTCTAGCGGGAGGAAAAGGGCTGGTGGCAGCCCAGGCTCGTGGGTCCGCCGCGGTGCGGGACTGGAGCCCCGTGAAGCGCGGGCCGCCCGCAGGACACAGGCCATCAAGGTGCGGCCAACCTCAACCAGCCTGCAGTTCCCAACTGTCTGTGTGGGTCTGTCCGCTGATTAAAGCCTTTCTTTCAACAGCAGTAACTGAGGCGCGTCTATGCAAAAGAGCGCGCCTTCCGCTCCAGCCCCTGGAAGGCGTCCTCGCCCCCGCGGTCCTCGAACGTCCATCGCCCGCCCGTACCCCGCAGTGTCTGCGCTGAGCTAGCAGTCCGTGGGGCTTGAGGACCGCCCGACTCTGCGCAGCGCGCGCCCAAAATGAGTCGAAGTGGTGAAGCTGTGAAGTGGCCGGGCCTCCACCATTCCAGGGCCCGGCTTGCGGCGGGCGCCTGAGTCAGCTGGGGGCCTGGATGCGAGGAAAGCGAGGCGCGCGAGCGCGCACACACACTAGTCCTTCACGATCATCGCCCCTCTACAAAGTTTATTCTTTCCCTGGATTGTTAATGAAAGGTAGCAGTTCGGCTCTCCATCTACCTCTGCCCGGACAAGGGAATAACTGAGTTTTTCGTAGCCAAGCACCAAAGTTATAAAGAGTCGTTCGCTACCCACATGTCCTGTGGTCCTTTCTTGCTACTCAGCTAGGCTCTGAGTCCCAGAAACTCTCTGGGAAATTGGGGCTTTCCTGCAGAGGGGCGACAGGTGGACCGACCCGATAGTGACCACGAGCACGTGTTGGCACGCTTTCTACCGTGGGAGTGATTAGTGGGACGGCCAGTGTTGGGACTCGGGATACGGCATTAAATTATCTCATCATACAAACTTCGCGTGGAGGGCAGCCCCTAGGAAGATAACTATCCAATCAGTTCAATCACGTAGACAAACCATGTGGATCACTTGGTCTTTAAAACATAATCGAAAAACAATTGCTCTATTCTTTTATTGTAGGACTTGTTTTTCTGCTAAGGAAAGCTTGAATTAGAGGTACCGCACTAACAGAAAACCCCCAACTAAGAAACCCCCCAACTGCGAAGAAGAAAATCGATCCACTGAGATTGACTCGGCCACAGAGACATTCGGTCCGCGCATCCTCACTGCTGAAACGACAAATGCTACTTGCCCGGCCAACAGTTTGACAACGAATAACGGTTACTGCCACCAGGATATCCTCCCCTACACCTGGGCTTCTGGTCTTCGCAAACGAGGCCATATGGAGGACTATGACATTTGCCTAAACTGTTTGTGATTTCAGGCTAGTGAGTACTTTTTAAGCCGCAGTGTGGGGATAATTAATTGCCTTACTCTTCCTCTGTGTCCCCCCACAGCACAGTGGGAGATGGTAGGAGGCTGCGAACGTGCAGTCTCCCTCCTGCGTTTTCAAACTCGCCGCATTTGCCGCACCGTCTAGAGCAGAAGCCTTCCCTCATCTACGTCTGCCTTTCTGTTTCCCGCAGCTCCTGGGCCCGGCCGGGTCCCGGATCCGGCGCGCGATGGCGAAGCTAGCCCTCGACGGGCGGCTTCCAGGACAAAAAGCAGAGCCGAGGGCGCGGATAAGCCGACACAGCAGACAGGGAGGGGGTGTGAACTCGCCATGGGGGCGATTCGGCCAGCCAGGGCTGAGGGGGACGCTGGAAAGTTCCCAAAGGGTCTCCGAGGGGGAGGACAATCTGTACACCCTGGACACGCCCCTCGGAAGTTATTTCCTGAACCCGGGGACCCCGCCCCGACCTTTATTCCCTCTACTTGACTTGAAAAAAAGAAAAGAAAAGAAAAAGAGCTCCTTCTGGCTCCCGGTGAACTGCGTTGGGACATCCTACCGCTCCCACTCCCACCCCCACCGCTACCACACACAACATTCCTGCGGTGTCACCGCGTTCCCGAATCCGGGCATTTCCTGGAGTGCTCGCCACCTCTCTCTTCCCCGAGTTCTTTACAGTAGGGGCTGGGAGGCCTTGTTTTAAAGTTCGCTGTGACGTCACGCCCCCTCCTCAGAGCTTCGGTGGGGCTTGGGAACTGAGACCCCACCCGGTGGGTCAGTGAGGGGATGGGGACGGAGGTGGGGGCGCGGGGCGGGCCGAGGACAGTTCCACCAAACATCCATCACCGCTGTCGCCTGCGGGCCCTTCAAGCTGCAAGTACCCGAGGTGTCAGCAAAGAAGCTGAAGGTTTCCTGCGGGGGCATTTCTGCCAACGGAGTCAAGGGTTGTGAGGGAGACAGTTGATTGAACTACCCCGCAGAGCAGCAAAAAGGGGTATCAAAACATTAACCTTTAAAAACTTTAACACATTCCCCCAAATACTTCATTTCTGCTCCTTAATGTTCAAGTAATACCACTAATAACAAAATAAGTAAAGCACTCGAAATACAATCAAGCCGTTTACTGGAGGTTTGCTTCCTTGTAAGCTTATAAAACACAAATGCAAATATCTTTTCCTGGCGAATATCCAGAGCTAAACCAGTGGAAAGTTGATCTTTATAAAACTGCACCCCTCCATTTTTTTTCCGCATGCCAGATACTAATTTCAAAACGGCAACTTTTGTACCCAAAGCAGGGAGCCCAGAGACCACAGCTGTGTGGGGTTCACAATTTACATAACAAGCTAAACACTTCTCTGGGCTGACCGAGGGCCGGAGGAGGGGAGGGCAGGGGACACAGAGCTGGGGGGAGAGACCGCGGAGCACAATGCCTGTTGCAAGACCAGGGGCCCGCTGGCGTCTCTCACCTTCGGAAAACAAACTAGTCGCTCTCGCTGCGATGTTTCCGCGCACCGCAAGGAGTGGAATCACAGTTTAAAGTCCTAATTCGCCAAATGCTGAGGTGTTTAAGGAGACCACTTAATTTCACTGGCCTCCAGGCTGAAGCCTTGGCCAAAGGGGTTGATTAAGTCAGGGTACAGGGCTGCGGACTCGGCACGAATTCATTTTTCAAGTGATGGGGTTTCTCCCCCTCCTTCCCCCTGCAAATGGTTAGGAACCACCAAGTACTCAGCCCCCTGCTGATGAATCAAGTGTTTCTTCCAATCCATAACTCGGCCTTTAGAACACTCTGGAAAAGGAGTTTGAAGTGACCCAAGCGCTGCACACAGCAGGCCAAGAGACAGCTGCCTCAAGAGTGGGAACTTCCGGGAGGCCCCCCAGGCTGGGTCCAGAAGGGGCAGATCCTCCCTTCTCTCCACGTAAGTGTCCGTTCTGAAACACCATGGTTTTTAAACGTTCAAATGACCCAGAGCTGTGCCTGCTACCCAAGTGCGCGCCTTTAACATCCAATAACTAAAGTCACAACTAGACTATTGTGCTGAGTGAGGAAATCAAGATTCCACAAATCCTTTCAGTTAAAGATTGTCAGAAACTGAGTGAGTGGGGGGTGTTATACGCGCCACGCTGCCCTTCTTCCCAGCTCCCTAAATTCTCCAATACCCCTGAGCTTCTGGTGAGGATCTAGTGCTCAGTCTAGGGTGGGGTGAGGTCTTTTACAGAGTTGCCACAGGGCAGAATTGCGCTGCAGGCGGAGAGAGGCCCGCCTGGGTCCTGCTCCTTCGTTTCTTCCTCGCATTCCTCTTATTCCAATCTCATTCCAGCCACTCGGATGCTGCAAATCTCAGGCGTATGTTCAAAGATACTCCTTGAGCCGCCCTGCAGGTGCTACTCTGAACATCCCCCCAGACGCAGCCGTTATCTCTGTGCGCCAGCAGCCCCGCTCGTGTGGAGACGGAGATTGGACGCGGACGCGTTAAGCTCTTGGACGTGTTTATTTGCTTCTTGTCATCACACCTGCCAATGTCACTGCGCCCGCAGCCTGACCCCTCCTCTGAGCTAAAACGTGCCAGACTGGACAAGAGGGGGCGGGGCGCGGCGAACTGGAGGGACCCCGCCCGCTCCCCCAAGGGGAGCGCGGGAAAGCCACCCATCTCCAGCTGCTCGTGCCTCAAGCACCCTCGGAAAGCCAATGGCCCTGGGAGGTGGGGGCTAGGGACAGGGCTGCCCGAGGTGGGGCGGGCACAGCCTACCTGGCCAAACCACCGCCCGAAGATCCCCGCAGGGCCCCAGAACCCCCTCCCTTATTTCTACTAGGGAGGAGCCACGGGGACCATGGGATGGGGGCGACAACTTCTCCACTGGGAACAGAGCACCACGGCTGCGGTTGAGCCTTTACATCCGCGCCCTTTGTGATGCAGCTCAGGACAGGAAAACGTCCCGAAGGAAAACTGGGGACTGTGAGCCGAGTGAGACCGGAGATCGAGAGCGAAGAGAGAAAAGTGAGTGGGAAAGGCCCGGGAAATGGCACTGGAGCCGGCCAGACTGGCCAATGAATGCGAGAGAGCCAGCGCGAGTTGGGGCTTGAGGACTCGGTGGCATCTGTGAGCTGTGGACGGGGGAACGATCTGCGTGGGGCCCCGGAGGACCCGGGACATCTGCGGGAACAATGGACGTCCGTACGGGGCGCCGGGGTGGGGGACAGTGCAGGCGGGAGCGACGAGGCCAGAGGCGGGGCGCGGAGCGAGAACCCACTGTGGGCACAGGCCGGGCGCGGCAGGGCGCGGGAAGGGGCGCGGGCGGGCCGGACCGGCCGGCGCGCGTGTGGTCAGCCCGGCGGTCCTCCGGCAGCCGGGCGCGGGCCGGCGGGGCTCGGCCTCCTGCTCATTCAGAGGCGGTTCTCGCCTCTGATTGGCTGCTTCCGCCGTGGCGGGGCGGGGCTCGGCTGCCCGGAAAAAAAGTAACTGCGTAAAAAAGTCCTCGCCTGGGTGACGGATGCTCAAAAGTTCAGAAGTTTTCCCAATGCTTCCTTAAGCGGCCGGCACGCAGAGACTGAAAAAAAGGTGACGCGGGGCCCGGGCAGACGACCGGCGCGCTGCCCCCCGCCCCTGGTTATCTGGCCGCCGTCGCCGGCGGCCCGGGCAGTCTCCGGGAAGGCTCGGGCAGTGTGTTGAGAGGGACGCCTTCTTGTTTTGTAGTTCTCGCTCGTTTTCGCCTTTCTCTCCTGGAAGTTGCTCCGCGGGCTCCTCCAAGGCCGCCTGCCGCGTCCTCGTCCGGCCCTCTCGCCTAGCACCGACCTCCTGCGCGGCCGGCCGGGCTCCGAAGCGGCCGCGGGCGCCCCAGGAGCCCGAGCGAGCGCAGAGAGAGGCCACGCGCGGCCGGCGGCTCGGGAGGCGGCGGCCCGGCAGCAGCGGGTGGGCCCGGACTCGGACTGGGCGGCCGGCAGCGCGGCCGGCCTGCGGGAGGGTGGGGGGCGGCGGGCGGCGCGGGGCGGCGGCGGCGAGCGGGGGCCATGCAGGCGCGCTACTCCGTGTCCAGCCCCAACTCCCTGGGAGTGGTGCCCTACCTCGGCGGCGAGCAGAGCTACTACCGCGCGGCGGCGGCGGCGGCCGGGGGCGGCTACACCGCCATGCCGGCCCCGATGAGCGTGTACTCGCACCCGGCGCACGCCGAGCAGTACCCGGGCGGCATGGCCCGCGCCTACGGGCCCTACACGCCGCAGCCGCAGCCCAAGGACATGGTGAAGCCGCCGTACAGCTACATCGCGCTCATCACCATGGCCATCCAGAACGCCCCGGACAAGAAGATCACCCTCAACGGCATCTACCAGTTCATCATGGACCGCTTCCCCTTCTACCGGGACAATAAGCAGGGCTGGCAGAACAGCATCCGCCACAACCTGTCGCTCAACGAGTGCTTCGTCAAGGTGCCCCGCGACGACAAGAAGCCGGGCAAGGGCAGCTACTGGACTCTGGACCCGGACTCGTACAACATGTTCGAGAACGGCAGCTTCCTGCGGCGGCGGCGGCGCTTCAAAAAGAAGGACGCCGTGAAGGACAAGGAGGAGAAGGACCGGCTGCACCTCAAGGAGCCGCCGCCGCCACCGCCGGGCCGCCAGCCCCCGCCCGCGCCGCCAGAGCAGGCCGACAGCGCCGCGCCCGGACCGCAACCGCCGCCCGTGCGCATCCAGGACATCAAGACCGAGAACGGTACGTGCCCCTCGCCGTCCCAGCCCCTGTCCCCGGCCGCCGCCCTGGGCAGCGGCAGCGCCGCCGCCGTGCCCAAGATCGAGAGCCCCGACAGCAGCAGCAGCCTGTCGAGCGGCAGCAGCCCCCCGGGCAGCCTGCAATCCGCGCGGCCGCTCAGCCTGGACGGCGCGGAGTCAGCGCCTCCGGCGCCACCCGCGCAGCCCGCGCCGCCGCCGCACCACAGCCAGGGCTTCAGCGTGGACAACATCATGACGTCGCTGCGAGGGTCGCCGCAGGGCGCGGCCGCGGAGCTGGGCTCCGGCCTCCTGGCCCCTGCGGCCGGGGCCCCGCGCGCGGGCATCGTCCCTCCGCTGGCTCTCGGCGCCTACTCTCCCGGCCAGAGCTCCCTCTACAGCTCCCCCTGCAGCCAGAGCTCCAGCGCCGGCAGCTCGGGCGGGGGCGGCGGCGGCGGCGGCGCGGCTGGCGCCGGGACCTACCACTGCAACCTGCAGGCCATGAGCCTGTACGCCGCCGGGGAGCGCGGCGGCCACTTGCAGGGCACACCGGGGGGCGCGGGCGGCCCCGCCGTGGACGACCCCCTGCCCGACTACTCTCTGCCCCCAGTCACCAGCAGCAGCTCGTCGTCCCTGAGTCACGGCGGCGGCGGCGGCCAGGAGGCCGCCCACCACCCTGCAGCCCACCAGGGCCGCCTCACCTCGTGGTACCTGAACCAGACGGGCGGAGACCTGGGCCACTTGGCGACCGCGGCGGCGGCGGCGGCGGCGGGCTATCCTGGCCAGCAGCAGAACTTCCACTCGGTGCGGGAGATGTTCGAGTCACAGAGGATCGGCTTGAACAACTCTCCGGTGAACGGGAATAGCAGCTGTCAAATGGCCTTCCCTTCCAGTCAGTCTCTGTACCGCACGTCCGGGGCTTTCGTCTATGACTGCAGCAAGTTTTGACACTCCCGCCCCTCAAGGCCAGACTGAATCGAACCCCGAGGCAGGAACCGCCAGGAGAACCCTCAATTCAAAATCGAAACCAAAAAATTTCAGTATAAAACACCTCGAAAACATTCACCAAACCAGCTAACAGAATCCCTCCAAAAGTTCAACTTAGCAGCACAAAGAAAACTACTCTCTTAAAAGATTAATGCAGAGCCACCTCCACTGTGCCTTATCTAAATAAACAAAACCGTAAACTGATTTGTACAGAGACAGCAAAATCATGGTTTATTAAAGGACAGTGTTACTCCAGATAACACGTAAGTTTCTTCTTGCTTTTCAGAGATCACACTTTCCTCCTCCTTTTCTCTCCCCTCTCCTTTCTTAACCTCTCACTTGTAAGATATTTTTATCCTACGTTGAAAGGAGGGGGAAAGTTCCCATATATGAAAATCGGTTTCTTTTTATTCATGGACTTGTTTTAAAATGTAAATTGCAATATAGTAATTTATTTTTAATTTGTAGTTGGATGTTGTGGACCAAACGCCAGAAAGTGTTTCCAAAACCTGACGTTAAATTGCCTGAAACTTTAAGTTGTGCTTTTTTTCATTATAAAAAGGGAAACTGTATTAATCTTATCCTATCATCTTTCTTTTTGTTGAACATATTCATTGTTTGTTTATTAATAAATTACCATTCAGTTTGAATGAGACCTACGTCTGGATACTTTAATACAGCCTTAATTATTCAAAGAAAGAAAAGATTTCAGAGATTAAAACACTAGAAATTGCCTATTCTCCTAAATACCTGAAAAGTGGAGAAATTTCTGACTATTCCTTGTTAAATTTCACATAAAAGTCTCTTTTGTTTAGATTTTTTTCCCCCTGAAGCATCTTCTGCAAAGTGTACTATATAGTCAGCTTGCTTGGTGGCTAGTTAAAAGATATTTTCCTAAACACAGCTGAGTTGGCATATACACGTATACGTTTTCTCAGGAATGACGGAACATGAATAAGAAAATTTAAGGCCGTAAATCAGCAGCTGTCTTACCACAGTGATACCTGTATGTAGAGAGATGTGAATATGCCTCCAGATATACACAGATGAATATTTGGCTTGTGTATCACACAAAAAATTGCCATGTGTATTATACATCCCTGTGAGCCATATGCTGGATATTTTTCTCTATTGATCTCACTCCTTTGTAAGATGAAAAATAAACCAGTTTTTATGTGTATGTATATAACTCATCTCCATTTACAAACCTTCATGTGTTACATAGAAGGATCGATTTTTTTGAAAATACACTGTGGGTTGAAAAGGATATTTTATCTTTGAAAAACTATTTTAGAAGATATGTTTGTAGAATGATAATTTTTTTGAAAAAGATTTAAAGCAGTAACAAGAAAGAAGGACATAAAAGCAGAACATTTTAGTCCAGGGTGGTTTCTGTTCAATTCAATTTTTCTTGTTAATTTACAGTTAAAATTAGGGGGCAATCCAGATTGGCCCTCCCCCTTTGTAAATAACCCAGGAAATGTAATAAATTCATTATCTTAGGGTGATCTGCGCTGTCAATCAGACTTTGGGAAGATGGCGATTTGATTACAGACATTCAGGGCCTTTCAGTTTGTTTTCGAGATAATACAGTTTCCTGCTATCTGCCGCTCCTATCTAGAGGCAACACTTAGCAGTAATTGCTGTTGCTTGTCAAAATTTGATCATTGTTAAAGGATTGCTGCAAATAAATACACTCTCTTTTCAGTCAAAAACTGCTTTACATGGCCTCTGATTTTCTTGGTCTCCAACCTCAGAGTGGAAACCCAACAGCTAGGGAAGATCGCAGCAGCGCAGGGCGGGTGTCTTTTTGGGTCAGGCCGGCTGGGATTTTCCTTCCTGCTGCGTTTAAGCCTCCCGCTTGGCGACTCAACCCTCCCTACTGGGGTGCCTCGAGCCTCCTCGGGTTGCCCCCTTTGGGTGACTCCACTGACAAATCTCCTAGATTCTGTGCCTTGGTCCACTCTGGGGAGCCGAGTGTGGAGCCGGGATGCGCGGACAAAGGGTCCGGTGGCTGGAGCTGGGTTGTCCAGGCCCCGGAGGAAAGCGGCAGCAGGTGACCAACGTTTGTGTCCCCTCGGACGGGTGGCCGATCCCGAGGCTGGGCAGCTAGGGTAGGAGGAGACGGTGCTTTTCTCGATTTGCCTGATTCAACTGTGTGCAGTGGGTTGATGGCGGGTGTCGCCCTGTGGCCCACCCCGGGCTTCCGATCTGGGGCGCTTCTCTGCGACCCGCCGGGTCTGACGCCGGCCTGGGGACGCCGCGCCAGAACGGGAAGGCTCTTCAGCTAATTAGCTGTAATTACCGCCGCGGCCGGGCGGCTTCTGTTTGTGTTTTGCAGCTCCTTCCTCTCCGCACGCCTGCCCCCTCCCCTCCCCGGGACCTCGCTCTCCTCGCTGCCGCCTCCCCACGAAATCAGTTGTTTGGGGAGAAAAGAGTCCCAGGACACCTCGCTTAAGGTGATGGGTTAATCCCAGGTTGGGTCGAAGGTGCCGGGAAGACCGCGCTGAGAAAGTGGCCCAGAGTAGGGGCGTGTGGAGGGGACAGGGGTCGCTGGGACGAGACAAGCGCTCTGGGGCCCGCCGCAGGGTCGGGCGAGGGCCGGGAAGGCTGCAGGCGCCGGCTCACGCTCGCGGGGCTCTGGACGGTATTCCCCGCTTGCTAGCTCGCTGGCCGCCTTTGTTTTGAAGACACACGTGTGTGCAGGAGCTCAGCCGGGGTGGAAAGGTCACAGGCACTCCGTTGCTCCCGGTGACAGCGCGCCCGCGCCAGCCCGCAGCCCGGTGCGCCAAACCTGCCCCGGCCGGTGCTGCGCCCAGGCGGCCTCCCCGGAGGGTTATGGCCTCGCGCCGCGGGCGAGGTCGCTTCCTGAGGCCACAAATCAGTTGGAGTGGCCGGCGCGGGGAGTCGAGAGGCCTAACGGGAGCTGGAGGCGTGCAGGTGAGCGGCAGCTTCGTGGTGTTCGTGGCCCAAGTGCCGGCGACCTCGGCGTCTCCGCCGGCATTGGCTTCGAAGCCTCACGCAGCCCCAGGCTTCGGCGCTGAGAGCTGGACCCCGCGGCGCCGAGGGGTGCGCTGCGGGACAGCTAGGCCCGCGCGCAGGGAAGGGAGGCCCGAGGGAGCGCACGCGGCCTGCGCGAGGCCCGCGTGCTGGGGTAGCGCGGCCAGTGAAGGACCTGCGGCTCCCGGCTAGAGGCTCTGCCGGCCGCCTGGAGACGGAGGGGACCGCGGGCGTCCCTTGCTCTTCCTTTTGGGGACCCGTGTCCCTGCGCTGGAGAAGGAACCCGGCACGATGCAGTGGGCGCGCTTGTTAGGCCCACGGGGAGTCACTGGCCGCAGCTCCTGGGAGTACTTTACCGCTTGCCCCTTGCCAGAGGAAAGTTGCTGGGCAGTCAATTTTGCGCTCCTCCATTCCAATGTTTGAAATTGGGCACGAAGAAATGTGTCTAGGAAGGTGTTTTTGTTATACATAGATAAAGTAGTTATTTTTACGTGAGTTGCCTACGTAACAGTTCAGAAACTATGTTTGAATGGAAGGTCAGAAATTCGGTTATTCTGATATTTAAAACCACATGGGGTACTGTTTCTACTATCAATGCATTTGATTTTGGATTCTCATATCCAATTTAAGAAAAATCAACTCCTGCCAACCTTATTTAATCTGGGAAAACTACTTATTCCTTCGTGGTTTGCATGTTCGATTTGTAGTTTTTCAGCATAAGTATAATTTTTCTGTAATATATTCTAAGAAAAATTTCTTGATATTTTAACTAGATAGTATGCTTAGAAATTATTATCTACAACACCAGGCAGAGCCCAGCAGTGGGGAGCTGGCTAATTTTGAAATTATCCTCTGTGGAAAGCTTTAGATAATATAAGTATTTTGTCCTTTATGTAGCTGTGAGTACATTTATTTTCTTACCAATTTATACCATGAGCAAGTAAATGCCATTATGTTACATGCCACATAAAAACTTGCATTTGGTATATTGCATGTGTGGTAGGAACATGTGCTGTTTTCCAGGGTTATGTAGGTTAGCAGGCCTTTTTTCGGCACACTGCATGCAAACAAGCATGCATTTTACAATTTATCATTCCACACAGTTTGTGTCATTAATAATCGATGTTTGCAGAAGAATAAGGCTGAATTGTGCTGGTGGCCTGTAAGCTCTTGGCTGTTTCCTGAGAGGTCAGAACCAAGGGTCAGAAAACAAGAGTGCCTTATAGCCCTATGGGCTCCCCCAAACTTTGATAGGTGAAGAGACATAGGACTCTTCTCTCCTACCTATTCCCTAGGGAGGGTTTTTAAGGCAGAGGGCCTTTAGTTTTTTTCTTAATGGTGCAAGACCGCAGAGAGGCCCTGAACCCTCTGCTGGTCCAGGCTGCCTGGTCAGGCTGACCAGGAGGGACAAGAAGCATCCACAATGCATCCAGGTCCCAGACACCCCTGGGTGTCTCCTGGCTGTTCCAGGCACCCAAAGCAAGGCTGAATGGAGTGACTGTTTCTTTCTCCCCTATAGCACATATTTTGGAACTCCTGGAGAGGGGCCCCACTTGCTCCAGTTCCTACCACTGGATCCTGTCTTGTGTCGCAGGGCCTTCTCTTTGGACAACTCTCAACTCATTTCAGAGCCGGTTCACAAAGCCATTAGCCCTTCCCACCAGTTCATAAACAAATGTCGCGTTAAGGGCAAGATTGATGGTGGCCATGTAATAAAGCTGCCCAGGCAGGTCAGATTCTGTGTGGGCAGTCATTCTTCAGCCAAGCAGGGAGCTTTGGGGGAGACTAGGGGAAAGGACCAAAAGACTATGTGTGAGGGTTCACCCCACCAAGTTGTGAGGAGTGGGAGAGCAGAGGTCAAGGAAGGCCCAAGCTCAGCGGGGCTCTCAATAGGCAAAGCCTAATTTATTCAGACAGAGGCTTCAACTCCATGAAAGAAACCCTCTGGGATGAGTTCTGAGGCCCTAAATGCCCGTTTCAGAAACCCCACTTTTCTGAAAGCTTCTATTTCAATATATATCGAGGCCAAGAGTTTCCTTGTAAAGAGTGCTTATTAATGGCATTTTCACTGTACTAAACAGAAGATCTTCCATTATATTTGAGCTCTGCATCCATCGCTGGAACTTTTGTTACCTCAGACCCCTTTACTCCATCTGTCCCTTCTTGAGTGTGAAAACAACATAATTATTAAGTTCTGTGTGTCTGTGTCTCTCTCCCTCTGTCCCTTTGTCCCTGTCACTTTCTTTCTCCCATCCCTCTTCCTCCCAGGCCTTCACAGAGGCCTTGTGGCCTGAAGCTTCCTCACCCCCAACCACCGCATGTCCCCACTCCAGTTTGGCCTGAAGGCCCAGGTGCTGAGCTGTCTGGGGGATGGGTCACATGCTGCTGTGACCCCAAGCTTGAGCCCAGGCCAGGGACAGACCTGGGGCCACACAGGAGCAGCACGGGCAGGTTCTAGGTATGAGTTTAGTTGGAAAAGAGGCAATACTTAAAATGAATTCCATCTCTCACATCCATTCAGGAGAATGAAAGCCACTTCTCCAGGATACTCTCAATGTGATTAGGAGTGGAAAATTGAGCAAAATGTACCATGTCCACCTTATTGGAAACTAAAATACAGCCTAGAGAGCATAGGACCTGACTTTAGTCCCCTGT